ACATCGGAGTAGTTCCACATCCACTTCTGTGCAGAAGTGTGCTGGGTAAGTTTAAATCAATGTCAGTGGTAACACTTTTGCACTGGAATAGATGAGGAACTGTCTTCCGTTTCATTACTAGGTCCAAGTTTTGTAGGCAACAGCAAGCTGTTGGGGCAGAAACTCCCAGACCTGTTTCAGCTATATCTGAAAGACAACTTCAGACTATTCCTTTTAAAACTGAGGAATCGGACACACAGATATGGAAACACATGATGCCACTTTCACAGTCTCTTTCAAAGGGGGAGTGCATTTTAACATAAGATCTGTAACTACCTAGAATTTCATGAAATCAAGAACTAAAGAAATCAGCGTCTCAACTGAAAAAGTCTGCTTTAAAAAAAAAAAAAGGCAAACCCAACAAAAAACTTTAGTAAACAAAGATGCAAGAGTGAAGCAAAGCACATAAGCAGGTCAGAGTATGGAATGATACTTACTATGGTAACAGGTACTCTTTAGCATATCCATCTCCTGTTTGTAACGCAGCCACAAGAAGAAAAAAGCACAAGTAGAGAATCTATGCATTCATCACAGCCATTGGGTTAAGTTAGAAGAATGGTTGCCACCATTCTTATAGAAAACGGAATGAGATGAAGTAGTGAATGGAAGACTAACAGACAAGTGATATATCCAATGTACAAGGTAAAAGAAACAGGACAAAAATTAGATTACACCTGTTCAAGATTGTTATTTTATCTTTTTTTGAAGAAATCGTAGACTTTACCAGCCCTGCTCTCATTTTAGTTAAAACTACTACACAAGGTGAGTAAATAATGATATTTAGATTCCAATTGAGCTGGAAAAATATTTACTGAGGTGTAATCCAAATACAATAATGTTTAAGAAATGTGCAATCACTGAAGGAGATTTACCAAAGCATCTAAATTTGTGTCTGGTTCACCATAAGACACTATTTCATTTCATAAGAGCAATTATTTCTTGCAGAAAATGTACAAAAGGGTAAATCAGTTGCGAAACACCAAGAGATGACAAGGCAATTCTGAAGAGATTAAAATTTGTCTTTATATTAATGCACACTTCTTTATTATTGTAAACATAACTCCTATTACACTCATAGTTCAGTGTGGCATATTTTAGGTAGCATTAAGATAAAATACAAGAAATAATTTACCTTTAGTATTAGATACTAGTTCATATATTTTCATGCGTCAGTCACTAATGATGCAGTTACCGGTTTCCCCGGCCCCCAAATCAGAAGAACATACCTTCCTCTATTTTAATCGGCGTACTGGGAGGAGTGCGAGCTGAAGTGTGATCAGGGGGACTTCTCTCTTTCTGTTCTCTGCCATCTTCTGAAGGTTCTGCAGATGTAGACAAAGAGAAATTAAAGAGGTAGACGACACCTGTCAGCATGTGAGAAAACAAGAGTCTCCTTTTGCTCTACGCACATAAGACACGAATACATTTTTCTGAATCGAAATTCTGCCAGAATATTAAATAATACCAAAACAAGCAAAAGAAAATTAAGTGATAGTTTGATATTAACAAAACTGTTCAGCTCACAGTTGTGCTCTGTGGTGGTGTGTTTTGTGGGGTTTTTTTCCATGAGAGGGCACGGATAATGCAATTTTTTATTAATTGGTTTATCACGCTGTTCTAAAGAAAACTTGTAAGGAAAAACCCCAAGGAAGATATAAACAAATGGGGGCTGGGAGGGGGAAGAAATGCTATCAGATCTGTACAAGATAACACTCTTTTGCTTGCTTTGTATTGCTGAAACTTGGAGTAAACAAAATCGCATCCCAAAAGAAAAGATGACTGCACAGATAATCAGAGAAACATGCAGTAATTAAATGATTCAAAACAGATTTCACAGCGGTTTGCATATTTGTTATTAGAAAGGAGGATCCCCCTTGCTTCCAGGTTTAAACAGCCCTAGATCCAAAGGAAAACATGAATAGAGTACACCACATATTGGGAACAGTATTAAAACATTGTTCCGTCCAGTTCACCTAGACAATTAAAAGTGAAATCAGTCCCACAGACGAGAGGCAACTGACAGAATCTCCAAACGGTGTAGGTAAAGAGGTCATTCCTTCAATTGCAAGCCCAGCTGTACCGTATTAGTAATACCTGAGGCCTCAGACAAAAGGTCAGGATTGGACCTTAGTGCTTTGATCACTGCAGTATGAAATTCCTTATGGGAGGACTTCTGCCCAGCTGGCTCTTCTCCGTTAAGATGTGTGATGACTTGCTGCATGGTCTGACAAGAAACCCATGCAGCAGCAAACTGAGTGTTATCTAAAGATTTAGACAGCGATGATACGTCACGATCCTGTAAAGTCTTCGTATCTGTTCCTTGAAAGGTTTTTGATCTGCCTTTCAAATCCAGAGATTTTTTATCTGATGTATTTTGCTCACTGGCGGTCTGATTTCTAAGCAATGTACTCTGTTCCCCAGCTGGTGTCTGTCTCAGTAACATAGTCTCTCCATATTTTGATATCTTATCTAAGAAGGATGTAGCAAGGTTACTGAGAGAATAAACGAATGCAGTTACACAGGCATAACAGCAGAGTATACCACCCCACACAGTCCAAGACTTGATTAACTGAATGCATACAATCTACAATGGCTCCGACATTGTCTTATCAAAAAGCAGAAGAAGGGAGCACACACTCCAAAAGAAATGGCACTTCTGGTTCCCACATCATTCAAATTCAACATTTAACAATAGATGAATGCGGTAAATATCATCCCTTAAAACTATACAGCAGTCAAGCAGGATAACCACTTCAGGTGCAGTAATGATCTCTTTTTACAGCACAATTCTCTCTTAATTCTATGATTATTTAGAAAGTCTGTTTTGGGGGAGGTCCCCAGGATGTACCATTTCCAAGTAGCCACCAAATGCTGTTCTGTACCTTCCCCATTCAATTCTCAAATCCACAAGGCTGTTAGAAAACAGGCTGTACCTTCCCCATTCAATTCTCAAATTCTCAAATCCACAAGACTGTTAGAAAACAGTTTTTTCTAACTGCAGTTAGAAAACTGCGGGTTTGCTGCTCAAAAGCAACACCACTCTTTCACCTAGACTAGAAACAAAGCGGAACAATCTGCACTACTTTCCTATACTTTTTTTTTTTGACTGAAGTTTCAAGCTTTCAACTTTATAATAGCAGCAGTAACTGGCCATACTAAACGCCCCAGTCTGTCTACTAGCATAATTTTTAAAATAAGATCTACACATTTTACAGAATACTCCATTCACACTTTGATCGCACATTCTATCTCCATTATGCTTTTTAAATGCTTAGTTCACACTGGAAAAACTGAAACACACAAAAGCTGAGTAATTTATTGCAGGTAACCCACCTTCCAAATAGTAATAAGCTTGCTGTTATTATAGGAATTTCTGTTACTGCAGAAAACATACAGATAGAGAAACCAACCTTCTGGTCCCTTCTGCTTTCTTTCTACTTCTTTGCGATATTCTTCCAGTTCTCGATCAGTGAGTTTATTGAAAGGATTTGGTCCTGTTGTGCTCACTATGACTTTTGGTTGATATTCTTTCTCAATTATTGCCTTTGATGCAGTCACCAGTTCTCCCTGACAAAAGAAAATGAAGATACATCTGCAATTGAGCAGTAACTTGCAGAATCCTGAGAAGTACAGAGGCTACAAAGCAACCAAAACCAAACCAAAAAGATAATCTGAAAAATGCTACATTTATTTCCTTTTCAATTAACAAAAAAAACCCCAAAACCTATTACAGAATAGACAATTTTTTTTAAATTTGATTGACAGCAGGTTAATATAAAGGAGAAAACAGGTCTCATTAATTACTCTTACAGACACATCAGTGTTTCCACCAGGGAATATCCACCATTAAGCAGTAAATCAAACAGCAGCCAAACAGCCTAGGTGAATCATATCTGAAGTCACCGAAGTATCAAGTTTCTTTTTTCTCCCCACAAAAGAAACAGGATACCAGGCCCAACTGCACGGCAATCTCAGCACAGAACACCTGCAGAAGTTCACAGGACTCAGCTCATAGGTATTTTTTTCTATTGTTGTTTCAGGGGGTTTTGGTGGTTTTTCTTTGTTTGATTTTTGGGTTGGGTTTTTTTTGTTTTTTTTTTTTAATAAGGGAAAAGCCATTTATAGTAGCTACTATGTAACATTTAACAGATGTTATAGTAAAAAGCCATCTTGTACATGTTCTGTATACACCAGATTAACAGTTTATTACAAGCAATTTTAAAGTAATTAAGGTTAACCGTAATCTTATACAAGTTAGCATATTTACACCTATAACATCTGTCACACAAGCCAGGCAAAAAGTTACACAAATAAAAATAAAACATTAGCAATTCTAAGTAGAGTAAATTCCAATGGACAAAAGCAGCTGCATCAGAGATTCTCTAATGCTAAGATTTTTAGTTTTTCTTCTCTAATCATATAGTAAAGATTAAAGCCATTGGCTTTTCATTGTCTCGCATCCGGAAGATGCTTGCCTGGATAGCTGCTGTATCTTTCAAGTGACTTGTTTAAGCATTTGGTTCTTTCATTGGATATACAGAACTCTACTGATGCTAGTTTGGAAACGACTGATGTGCGGTCTGTGCCTCGTGTCATTGTGATACCTGAATTGTCTTCATTGTTGAAAAGAGGTACTTGAATTCCATTACCAAATAAGTATGGGTTATTAATTGGCCCAAGGCATCTCCACATTCAAATGTTATTTGTACCAATATTTAAATGAAAGCATTAGAAAGCACAGTTCAAAAACAAATAGCACGTAAACAAAGAGACAAACATTCCATTCAGTGTCCATACAGTGAAGATCTCATGCTTGTCCATCAAGTAAAACTGAAGATGAAATTAGACAGAGTACTACTGTTTGGAATGCCAAGAGCTGCTTTGGACAACTTGTCAGCACCAAAAAGGTGACAGACAGGAATGTCCAGATGGAATGTGGACAAGAGCAGTTAGGTATTTCCGAAAGCCTCATAGAAGATCTCCAGAAATCTGATCTAGAGCAATCCAGGGAGGTAAGAACAGCTGGTTGTTAGAATCTATGCTGCTCTTCAGGAAGCAAACACCCACCAGAAGTACTGAAGAACAGCATAACAAGTCTCCACTTTAAATCCTGAAAGGAACTGCAGGAGAGAAACGTCTCTAAAACATTACAGGTTGCCTCTGTTTCTCCCTAAAGTAAGAGGAACTCTCGTCTCAGATGCAGAATATGTCAGTAGAATGTCAAAAGTTTTTTCTCAACTATTTCTGCTAAGCAGCAGCTGCCTTAATACCAGAAAACCTCTGATTTGATAGTCACAGCTTTTCTTACAGGATAATGCATAAAAAAATCATAAAAACATCAACCTCTGTAAAAATCTTAATTGTTTTGTAGAAAATGTAAACCACCCACAAAACTACAGGTCCCAGCTTTTAATGATGGCAGAAAAATCGGTGCCCATGGCAATTTTATTTTTCCCTCTCTATCTCTGCTCACCCTTCAAACTAATTATGTAGTTTTAACTGAAACTCAGCAATAAGTAGCAGGGGCTCATAAAGCACTGATCTTGGGCAGAGTTTCTAGAGTTTTCTAGGATTACAAAAGTCAACAGAGGAACAAGATGTACAGTGCACACTGGTATCCCTGGAATGTTTAAAAATCTTTGAATCTTGTCCTCAAGTTAAAGCCAAAATGACTGGGTAGAACAACATTCACATGAAGTGAAATTTTACTGAATGCCTACTCGTTTAATAATGAGAAACAGCAAGACATGCAGTTTGCAGCAAGATGACTAGTGACTGGCATCATGTACTCTCTTCCTTAAGAGAGTACCTTTGTTAACTACTGGGAATAAAAGCAGCACATCAAGCTTATCACATTCACTAAATCAAAAAAAAAAACCAAGAAAACAAACACAAACAAACACAAAAAACATACCCACAAGCAATGCAAACAGTATTTATACTAGTTGAGTATCTTTGACCCAAGAGAAATAATATTGAAAAAGATCAGCAGCAACGACAGTAAGCGGATTATGTATTACAAAGAAAAGCATTTGTGTTTTTAGACTGTATAAGCAGAAGAATTACACAAGAGACGAGAAAGGCAAACTTTTGATCTGCTAAAAGCTGTTTCCAGATTAACACATCCAGTTTTGCTCAGTATCAATAACATGGAAGCAGTTCAAAGGCCACTAATGAAATTGTAAGTTAGCAGGACTGACTCTATGGGGAAAACAAATGAAGAGAAATAGAAAATGAAGAGAGTAACACAGGACAGAAGGAAAACAAGTACGAAGGACTGAAAAGACAGTACAATACATATTAAATGTGACACTAAAATACACAAGACTCTGCAAAGCTATTAACCTGTCCGTGCCATTTGGAGATTCCTATGAACGTTCAGAAAAATGGAACAAGAAAATTGGTGCGGAGTTGCTTCAAGCACTAGAGAGCCTGTATAGCGGGAATAAATTCCCATATAAAAGACTGGCGCTGTTTCAACACAGGATGACATGCAAAAACCTAATGTTCTAGTGATTTCATCTGGATTTTGCTGATACTAGTATTATTTTGCACTAGTCTGATGACCATCTGAAGTGTGATTGCAGGTGTAAGCACCTGAATATCAACAGCATTTTCTCCACTGTAAGAAATAATGGATAGATTACATTAATGGACAGAATACATTTTCACTCCTGAGAATTCTGTAGGGACATACTCCCTCACAAAGATCCAAAGCGAAAGTAATTTATAGCTAATGATATACAATATACCTTCACACTAAACTTGGACCTCACAAGGAAATTTTAGATTTTCAAGTCTTTTTGTAACTTCTCCACAAAATCTTGCTTTCGGAGAGAAATTCAAAACTGCTATGAGCTGACCATCATTTAACAGGCAAGCACTTCATCTTGTTTTGTCTAAAGTTAACCGCTGCTCTTAGCACAATCTGGCATTAATGCAGTGCCTTTATCCAAAAAACCAAAGACTCTAAAAGTACTGTTGATGTAGAGGTCGTCATTAAAACACAGTGCCACCTCTGAGGCAGAACTGAGGGGCTCTCCCTGAAGAACAAAGCCACAGAATCCTCATTCTAAAGGAAGAGACAGGAAATGAGTGATTCTCCTTGTACTTAAAATTCTTGAAAATTCATGTGATTTTTTTAAATCAGGTTGCAGAATGGTCATTGGTAAGAATAACCAACATTTCCTCTCACTCAGCCAAGACTACGGCAGAAGCTTAGTTGACCAAGTCTATAATACGAATAAAATTACATGATGCACAAGGAGCTTGTGTTGCAACGTGGCCAGGACTTCTCAGAACATGGACAAAGCAAGTGACGAGGCAAAATGGAGTATTTACTACTGCAGCCATAGGCGCAGAAGACTCAAAGCTTTACATGCATACTGTACACAAACAGGATTTTTTTCATCCAAAATAGTGTGCATTAGTATTTGACAGAAATCTCAGTGTTAACTGAAAACACAACACATTTCAAGCGTTACGGCAATCAGACAGCACTTTTTACTTTAACCGTAATTGAGTGTCAAAGAATTTGTCAACTCAGAACTTGTAATTATCTGGTACCTAAAAGTCCTTGATGTACAGGTCTCCTCAAAGTTTTAATAAAAGTTTCATGTGAGGTTTATGTAGGCATCATAAGATTGCTTATAATTCCTTTGTTCCACAATACATGACTGATTTTTTGGCGTAGTTTTCCTAGAAAAGTTCTCTGGTGGATTTTTTTTGTTGTTGTTGTTTGGTTCATCAGTGTTTTTTGTGTTTTGTTTTGTTGGGGTTTTAGTGGGTTTTTTGTTGTTGGTTTGTGGGCTTGTTTTTTTTTCCCCCAACAGGAAATTATTAAGCATTAAGGTCGCAATCCATATGAAGACAACAAAGATTATGGAAATGGCCACTCCTTCTGGAATTAACATTGTGGTCTAATTTCACACAGTATTTTAGGAGGAAAGCATTTTCATGAGACAAAAAGGAAATACATCATCTGGACATCTAAATCCTAATATTATACCAGGCAGAATCGTATAACCAATAGACCTTTTGTTGGCTCCTTGCCGTCTACAAAAATCCATGTAAAGTATTTGACTAGTTTTATAGAAAGATGATGCCGTTACTCAAGAATAACACTTAAAAGATATCTTGCATATCATTGATGAAAGAAACTGCCTGTGTTGTGATAAGCAATGGATAACTATCATAAAAATAATTTTTCAGTTTGAAGGTTATTATTAAGCAGGGAATAAAAGGCAGGCACTGCCTGGAAGAATTCGGCTTTGTTTGATTTTTCATCTTAATTCTGGAAATAATACTTTTTATTTTTCCTTTCAGAATATGGATAAAACAAATTGTAACCTGAAAGACATCATTATTAAATTCTCAGTATGATACAACTATCTATAATCTGAACTGGCTCATTACATTAGAAAGTGTTGTAAAGTCATGAGATTTGCAACAATGATGTAATTCAAAGTATTCTCTTTTTTGATGGGAAAGCTATTCTGGTAATGAGATGTTAAGCACAACCTAACCCAAGATTTAAGAATCTTTTAGACAAAATAGCAGGGCAGAAGTGACACCAATGCTTATTTACACACTGTGCTTCCATGTTAGATCACTTCTAAAACTCCTTCAAAACGTGGGAGAGAAATACAGCCAGGGACAGATTGTTTCCAATGTGCAAACTGTTCCTGTTTACTCAGCCTCAAAGGACTGCCCACCCCAACCATAGACACATCCCTTGAATTTATTCTGTATTTAAAGTATATCACATAAGCACAAGCACGATTACGTGTTTGAAAAGCCAATCGATTTTGAAAGTGTGGGGCATTATTCAGCAACTCTTGTAGATAACTGGAGGAAGTTTTAAGGAAACAAGACATCTAGCAATGTAGGATCAAAAGTTGACGGTGTCAGCTGAACGTGTGGATATCTTCGGAATTACACTGATGTACTCAGGCTGAGTTTAAGCTAACTCAAAATGGATCTCAAATTAGAGCAATTCAATACTAATAGCATGCGTAAAGAAACCCACTATAGGCAGAACCTAATCAGCACCTTAACATCAAAAGTGTTTCCTCACCAGCTTCTATAGACAAAGAAAAAGATCAAAATCCTTAAAAGATACTTCAACAGGGTAAAGTAACTGCTTGTATAGTTGCATATACATAATTTGGAGATCCATCTATTTTTTTTTTTTTCTTTTCTAGCCAAATCATTAACTAACAGAGGGAAAGGGCAGGGTAAGGAAGAGGCAAAATGAAGGGTGAACAACAGTATTTAGAGCAGTATGACAGGGCAGTACCTTTCTAACAGACAGAGATTTAGCGGGACTAAAGGCCTGCTCTGTGAGATCGAGCCCTTCAATAGATTCCGTACAGTCTGAGAGGGGAGCATCCTGCAACAGTAAATTCAGTAAACAGAGCAAACCGAGCCCAGGCTTTGAAACATCAACCAAAAGCATTATGACGCTTGCTAGAAACATGCAAAGAAACAGTAACTGGTAGATAAAATTGCAAATGACAATGGATTGACATGCACACAATATGACACCCAACATGAATAATGCTATGGTCATGATAAGACTTGCCAAACTTTTAAAAGTATATCAGAAAATACTTATCTAGGGCAGTTAAAGTACTCAGATATATAGAGCTTTAAAGTCATTCAGCTATACGGTATATTGTATAGCTCTAATTCTTACTTTACTTTGAGCTATGATTCATAGATTCAAAGTCTTTTGTATATCCAGATATACTGCTTTTAAGTTTTATTGATATATAATAACTTTTTTTTTCCAAAGTGCTCTTCAAATAAAATATTATGAAGCATGATAAAACATATTTAACACACAACACTACTGCCCCATAGTGAGCCTGCTGTGCCCAGTATTAATACTTCAAGGTACATAAACTTGGAAAACAAACAAACAAAAAGTTGTCACAAAGCCCAACTAGTTTTGAACAAGAATCTAACCCATATAAATAAGCCTTCTGAATTTCATGCATTACATTCAGCAAAAAAACCAAGAAGCATCCTCCACAGACATGCTTTGGCTACATGACTGAAGCCTCTTAAATTTCTGATCCTGAGCACTCTCGCGAAGACAATGGTGTTACCTCTAAGACTTACCTTATAAACAGTTACTCTCTGCCAATTAAAGAATAATTTCATAGTGATATATTAGGTGAAAGCAAAGGATATCGCAGATTAAATTTAAGCTAATAGTTTTAGGCATTTTACACTCTCACCTGTACAAGGCTCCTGTCCACAACTACCCCAGAAAGAACCTGTGATTGAGGGCCTGCGGTTTTAATATCTTGTAAATTTTGCTCTCGGATCTGTAAAGGAAAGCAGCAGAATACAGTCACATGAACAAGAGAAAAGTTAACCACGTTTTTGTATTTGATAAAGGTGTGAGTGAACCTGCCAACAGGCTGTAACTAGTGTCGATTGCTATGGCCCTACTAATCAAACAAAGCTGTGCGTACAAACACCACTTGAAGATATGTGCTCAGGTTCCTAATTGTTTCCTCACATTGCTCAGAATTTAGTCTGTAAGTACCACAGCAGGTATAGTTCTTTGCTTTTTAGTACTGGCTCATAGTAAAACTACAGATCAGGTGACAGACACCTCTAGTTTGTGAAGAAAAGCGAGAAGCACAGAGGTCATACTTATGTGTCTATTGTACCAGGTTTCTGTCACTAGCCTACTGCACCACAATCTCACCTTCCTACAGAACCTACTGTAAAACACTACACAACATTCAGGTTTTGCACCTAGTCAGGACCATATTCTCAAAGGACATAGAAATATTTTTCTAAGCGTAAACTGACACTCTGGACTACTCAAACGCACCCTTTTTGTTCCACCCTAAATACCTCCCAGTTCTTTCCATGCAGAAGATGGGAACAGAAACTGGATATTTAAATCTAAGTATCATCAATTTCAATTAGATAGCCTACAGTGGTAAAGAATTCATAACACCTGACTCAAAATTTATAATTATATTCTGGTTCTTGTTCCAAGATAAAAGAAGAAAAGCATGCACCCAGAAAGACCTCTACTTTAACACCTAAAAAGGACATTCAATTTATAAAAATATACATGCATACAAGTATAGAAACACAAGGAATTATTAATACTTGGTACTTCAGTAAGTATGAAGATCGTGCATCATCTATACTTGTGTCTAGTTTACCACCCTTCTTGTCATCAGGAAAGTATAAAGTTTAAAGTTTTACTTCTCTCCTCTTAGTGACTTCATTCAAGCTTTTAATACAGCGATATCTGTGTTTCAAACACCAAGAAACTGCTTGGCAATTTCACCAGACTTCTCCTGTCAAGTGATTATTATTTTACAGTGCCGAGCCAGGAAAAGCAAAAGCTCTGTCAACCTTATACAAATTATTTTAGCGCAAATCAGTATTCCTGCTAGTACCCCCACACACAGACTTTCCTGTGACATAATGCTAACTCCCATGTTCCATATGGCGATCAGTTAGAAGTAGCAAAACAATCCAGGACAAGTTAAGTATTAACAAAATACCAGTGCATATTTTATACTTTAAAAGAAATAAAGTGAAAAAACTCCAACGCATTCAATGCTTTCCTGTTGGTAGACTGGTGACAAGAAGATCTGAAATTCAAAGACTGGAAAATTAACTGCTAGGTCATTTAAAAAAGATTAACATGCGGTTCCAAAGGCCCCAAAAAAATCTGCAACGATCACAGCGGATCATAATATAATAAAATATAATATGGGGAGAGATCCGTAGACTTCTTTGTCTAGGCTACAGTTTCAACTGGTGAAACCAAAACAGGGAAACAGGTCACTAATGTAAAACTATGAACCCGGAGAACAGAATTACTATCATAAACTCAGTGGTGGCTGTTTCAGAGGTACACAGCAACTGGTCTGATAGTAATAAAATATAAGACAATGAAAGTCTTCATACAGTGGACAGTAATACCACCTTTTTCCAAAGATGATTTCAGAACATTTAGGAATTGTTTCAGTATCTAGTTATAAAGGGGCAGGACAATACCAGAGCTATGTTACTGAACCTCCAAAATTTCACTATAGCTAAGTTAGTTCATTACAAGTACACAACTTAATTGTAGTGATGACCACAAAAACATTATTTTACTGCCATTACAAACCTTGTTCCTCATCTCTTGGACCTCCTTTGGATTGGTGTTCAATGGAACAAACAGGTTGGGGACAGCAGAGGTGGCAGTTCTAAGTCCATCCTCTTTAGTCCACTGTAATATCAAGAACAGTTGAACAGTCAGAATTGCTGTAATGGCTATGGACACTCAGAGCAGCAAATTTACAGAGCAGTTGTCATGCATTATACATAGCAGAGAACTGAACCAATGATTGTATTCTTCTATTCATTCCTAAGACTATATAAGTTGCTTCCTTCTTCAGTAATATAACCAGTACCTTCAGAGACATTTATAAATATCAGAATCATCCTATTAAGTCAAGCTAGTAACAACAACAAAAACTAGAAAGCCAGTTAACTTACAAATAACTTCCACCCTAAACAATGCCATTAGTACAACTATGTGCAATTTGGAGATTATGGAGACTGAAAGGTTTTTAAGCTGTTTTTCTGTGCACTTAAGCACACTGACAACTGCAGTGTTGCATGTTTCTAAAAACCGTCTACTTCTCACTTTATGAAGAGACATATTAATATATGAGTAGGAAAACTCCAATATAATTACTTCTTTTTAAGGACAGTTTTTATCAGAAATTTCACAGAGAGTTCATATTCGTTTAAAAAGGACACTATTCCTTACCCAAAGAGAAGTACAGCAAGATCTAAGACACGAGCTGTAAAACCCTGTTACTGCCATTTTCATTTTCTGCACTGGATGTTTTTACAAAATAGCACAAGAGAGACACAGTGATCATTGATTCAATCCTCCAATACTCAACAAACATCAAAGCGAACTTAAAGCATAAGATGACAGAAGTATGAAAAGCAATGTGATGTCACTAACCAGGTTTAGTGAATGATTCTGTACTGTGAAGCAAGAGTGGGCATCACCAAAGTTTTGCATTAAAACAAGCTACTTCAGCAAAATGTTGTTTCCAGAATTATTTTCTGCACAAATAAATAGCTGTATCAGCACAGCAACCTAGAGGAACAGTTTGGTGATGTCGAATATTTTATAACTCATAGCTCAAAAGGTTACAAAAATATCCCAAACACAAACTTTAAGCGCTTCATGGGTTCTTCATAGAAGGTTGCTTTATTTGATCAGTGCATTTAGTATGGAGCTCTGTTTAATCTGATGCACAACTAACTCTATCATGACACGTTTATTATATGCGGTATCCTGATTTCCAATCACGATTGCATAGAAAATGCACCGAACAGTAAAGCAAACCTGTTTATAGAGCAAATGCTATGCGTTTTTTCCTGAGTAACTTCAAGAAACAATAAGATAGCCAGAAACTGTCAAACTTCAAAAAGCAACAGAATTTTAAAATGTTTTGCAACTGTAAAGTAAAAAATGGAATGAACATGGAGCTGTGAAATACTCACTGATGATTATCTTCTCAGATAAAAACTACTCCAGCTTTTTATTAAAGATAGTTTTTAGTCAAAACACATATAAAAACAACCTCAACACAACAAACTACTTTTTCTTTACGTTAATAACAAGCATTAAAAAAATTTAATTACACAAACCTGTTATACTGTATGAAATTTTCTATTGCTTCAGTATATCATTAAACAAGACTAGCTTCTGAGCAGGAATTTTGCTTCAATCTTTCACTAATAATTTCAAATATAAAATACTACCATAAAATACTACCTACTTTGTGAGCTAAGGTTGAAAATCACAAATTGCTCCAAACATATGCATAGCTTTAAGCTTTCTTCCAATCAAGGCAGAACTATGGTTGAGTTTAGTAAAATGTTGATAGTACAAACAATATATGTATATACTAATTTCTTAAACCAAAAAGAACACCACAAAAATACCATAGAGATCCTCTGGTTTTTCAGGGCTTTCTACATGTTAACACTATATATTTTAGTACACACATTGCCTGTATAATCATTCCATAAAAAGCATTCAAACTATAGAGAACTCTGAATGCATTCAGAGGTGAAGCACAGTTTTGTAGGGGTAAATAAGAATGAAGAGGTGTTCTGGAAAAAAATAATGTGTATTTTTTTCCATTTCAAGAGCACTAGTTTTATTATTTTTTTTTAAGACTCACCTGTAACCATACTACTACTATGCATTGTACCTCTACTGAAGTACTACTGAACTACTATATTTCAGCTTAAGTCAACCGTTACAAAAGCTTGTATGTGTGCAAATCCCTGCCTACATTCTACGTCCTCTGTATACGCCCAAGAAAATATCAAAACCACATTACACACCAACAGCTACTGATCTCCATTTGAAAGCATTTGATACTTTTGCTTTTCAATCAACATATCTTTCAGTGCAAAATTTAACTGTAAGCAGCATTGATAAACAAAAAAAAAGCACCGGTTGCAGAATCTATCGATTAGTGCCTGCTGATGGCCTGAGCTGCACTTTAGTCATGCCGCACCCAGCTGATACTTTAGGAAAGACTTTCCATTTATGGCCATCTACTTACATGCAACACTACATGCAGAAGGCAGCTGGTTGTGAACACTCAGAGGCTTTGGGGTAGACAAAAGCATAGTAAACAGGACAGGAAGAGGAGCTAAGAAACTAGAGAAGAAAAACTGCTTAAGGAAAAAAAACCCAAGACAAATACTTTGAAATCAATTCTACCCTCCTGTACAAAGAGAGGGCTGCAAATGGCTTGCAAATTAAGTTTGTACATGTAACAGAGGATAGAAATTTGATTATTTTTATATATACTTGTACAAAAGTGCATTGAATAGTTAGTTGCATTTTTGTTTTAACTGAAAAGCTTTCATGCAGACAGAATTAGTAGTTCCCTAACACAGTTGTCCTTAATTAAACCATTTAAATGCAGAGCCTATTCAGTCAAAACTATGATTCAACCTGTTTGGTCATTAGCTTGAAAAGCCGAAAGAAAACTAGAGGCTCCAAAGTCTTAAGCAGTTTTAAGCACTAACAAGCAACATGATTTTTACAGCTCACATCTAATCAAAGCCAAATTAAGTGGTTAGTAAAACACATTTAGTTTTTTTATATAAGAAAGAAGAAAAGAATTAGGAGAGTAATCTTTTTCTTCCCAAAGCCTCGAAGTGCCAGCCACCCCAAGTTGCTCTACATCATCTAACTATGAACAGTAAGGTAGGCACAGACCAAGCAGTTGGTAATACAGCTTGGCACGCAGACACCGGACGAGAGAGACTGCAGCAAGGGTTTCACGTGATCGTGTGTAATGTTCGTCCACACCTTAGTCTTCGACTTGGGACTGCTGCCATTCTGCCCTTCTTCTGAAGCATCATCACCTCGGCCAGAGTTCAGCCACCTTGTCTTCTCTCGTTGCTGTTTCTGAAAACTGTGTCTGAGGGGGGAGCAAGTGCCTGATTCGCCATCACTAGTAAAGGAGTAACCTGTGACACTAGCTGGAATCTCAACATCGCTGTATTTTTTAGATTTCTCTCTCAGAGCAGGGCATCGATACGGATAGCCGGTTCTGTATCCCTGAAGAAGCAGAGCAGCAGAATTAGTCTTCTACATCTCCAAGTTTTGATACAATACTTAGGGCAGATAAACAGATCTCTTCTACATTCTAAAATCTAGAATTCAACGTATTGTATACAAGGGAAGGCTTCAAGAATGCTACTTTTATGTCCGTATTCTCTCCTCTCCCTGATCTTCTTTACCTATGTTTTCTCTCCTACTTCCTCTGAATTACATTGTTTCCTTTTTTACCTTCCATAGTACACTAGGCATATTTTCTCCTGCTTTCTTCCATATTTTGCTCGGAATTTAACATGCAAAAAGGACATTTAACAGTTTCTTTAAGAAGTTTCCCCTAGCAAACTATTTTCAATGCAGCTCAAAGAGAGCCTCTGAACAGCCTGCCTCCCAAAGCACTCAAATTTTTTTATAGACAAAGCTGGTGGTAAAGAAACTTCAAGTCCTGAGTACGCGGACTTGGCTTTCTTTGCAGAGTTTCCATGCATTAAGGACTGCTGAGGCATTAACTTGGCTGCTGCTCCACCTTTTAATGATCAAAGCGCATCTTGAGTAACTATCTACTGCCTAATGTAGTTAACCATCCAATACAATATGTGGCTATCTGTAATACTAAGGGCCTGTACTGGACGACTGAAAGCTCCTTTCCATTCCTGTGTTCCTAGTGAGTACAATGCTATTTTCTTTGTGATGCTGCTTCCCGTTTGCAGTAAGAAACATAAAACTGACGCTCCTTAGAGAAACTGAAATCCAACTAAACCTGCCAAAGGTACCAGCCAGCAACAGTGGGATTCCGCTACCCATAGCCAACTACATTAACAGTCTCATTATTGCTAAAATCAATGAGAATTTTTCTATCAACTTCAGGTTATAGCTGATCACTTTGATGTGAAAACACAGATACTCAGATTACTAATGAAGTAGCCTGATTATTTTTTTTCCATACTACAGATAGGACACTGATCAAAGGGGAAAAAACCCTAGTTATTTACTACATAGTATATGTGATGGATAGTGTTTTAAGATCATCATCAGTGTGGATCCTGTCAGGGGTATGTGCATCACATTACTGTGAAGACCACAGTTAAGTCTACAAAGGAAAAAGATTAATTACATCACAAATCAGAAGACTACATCTGATTATTATAGTGCTCATATTTTTTGGTATGTTCATTACCACTGTCTACAATTACCATTTGGGGCCTTACGACAGGAAACATCTTTCCCATTAAAACTGGAGAGAAAATTTTCATAGCTGGTCATTCATTACAGATGGGATTTTACTGAAACCATTTTATCTGAAGACTTTTATTTATTTATTTGAAGTCTGTCTTTTGAGCTCTTCTAGGTTCTGGTAGAGTCTTACAAAGTCAAATCACGCTGGATCCCTGCACCTGACAAAACATTAACACCGTTTTACGCATTTTGGGAGGGGATGGGAACAGAGGGGAAGACACACACGAAGGAATAGCAACATCACAGTACTCTCACTTGGAAGTGCCAAATTACAGGAGGATCCCCTTTCATCTCACTGATAACTACCAGATTATGAATACAGAATTAAATCTGCTATCTGCACAAAAGACCCCTGAAACATTTTGTGATGCTTTTCATGTTGTCTCCTCCTCTGAGGGCCCTTAATCTTTGGGAAAGAACAGCCTGCAGGCTCTATAAACTATCCCAACTACATTCACCCCATTCTTTACTAATGTCTCTTATTGCAGCTTTTGAAGTATTTTATACGTTATCATATGAAACAATTGAACAAAAACACCTGTCTTACCAGATTATCAAGCATTCGCATAAGAGCTTCAAATTCCTGTTCGCCAATCTGCCATTTTGGATGGGATACAGTACCCTCACCTGCTGGAGACTCAGGGGAACGAGACTTGGCTTTATACTTTCCAGGATCTAAAAGCACTAAATTGTCAGGTCCACCTGCACTGGCCAGGGTACGTACCTTAAAAACAATAAAGTCATCTATTAGTTTCTTGAGGGGAGGGGAAAAAAAGACCCCAAAAATTTTTTTTAAAAATGACATCAGCAAAACAGAAGAAGTCTACTTCATTTTAAAGCTAAATAAATTTAACATACTTGTGTAAAACCTGTCTCAAGGCTTTGAAAATATGTCTATTTTAATAGGCAGTATATATCAAATCAATGGTTCAAATACAGTATTGGAATATTGCTGGTTAAACCAATGTTTTGGATATCCTTGCATAACATAATGATTTCACAGATCACCAATTTTAGATCAAGAGTTCAACCAGTGAAGTGCACAACTATTAATCTGTTTGAAGGTTAATATAGAACACTGTATTATTACATAACAGACTGAAAGTCTTACTTGAATCTCACAGGCAAGCACTAGATTATGAATATAGTAGAAAGCCTCCTCAACAGTCTCTCCGACTGAGACTAAGCCATGGTTTCTGAGAATAAGGACCTAGAGAGACATTGCAAGGAAAGTTAACAGCAGTAAGGCAAGCACTTTCTTGCTCTTGATTAAATAACACCCCCCCCCCCCCCTCAACACATACTTTAATTACAAATGTGAATACTGACCTTGCTTTTAGGCCCCAAATTTTTCTGAATAACCACCTTTTCTTCATCATCCACTAAAATACCATGGTAGTCATGATAAGCTATTTCCCCTAGAGAAAGTGCTTCAGGTGAAATTGGCAAGAGACCACACTTCATTGCAGAAACCTGAGAAATATTAAACCAACTCACTTAATTTTCTTGCAACAGAAAAAAACAAGGAAAAAATGAAAATATAGTCATGATAAAAATTATAATAAAACCAGATTTTTATATATTATAAGTATGTGTCTATACAGGCACATATGTAGTGGTCTTATACTCCCATCCCTAAAGCTTTTATTTTTCACAACTTTTGGATTGGATACAAAAAGTGAGATTGATCTCGGATCTGACTCAGTGTGGTTGCTTTTACATGACATCAACATCAATATGAAAAGACTCAGGGGAAAAAAAAAAATCCAAACCCCAAAATCAACTGCATCCTTCATTCCTTTCAATTATTTTTTATTTCCTCCAAAAAGAAGAAATTTAGTGACACAGGTAATTCCGCAGCACTGCAGGTAAAAATTAAGGAATACTTTTAAAGACTACTCTGTAATTCAAAATTTTAGGAATCTGATAATTTATCCTTAGAATGGTTGTATCACTGCTGTTAATCAGTTAAAAATATAATATAAAAAACCAACTAAACAAAAAAAACCCAGAATGTGAACTTTGTAATACAGTCACAAGATAACTCTCTCAAAAAATTCCAAAGAGGTAAAACTGACTTGTAACCATTTGCTCTAATGAGAGGTATTGGAAAAGTTTCAAATATTTAAGAAAACCTTGATAAATTGTGCCTTACTAAACCAACAAAATGTGCTAAAGCTCTTACGACTCACTGTTAAAAGATACAGTCTTTTTTGGTAAATGACACACAAATATGAAATAAGCAGTTTCCAATTATACAGCTCAATTTACTGTCTGATCACTCACATAACAAGCAAATAAGGAGGATCTGATTGATTCAAACAGAACCATACATTTGAAGGCAGACTTAAAGGCTCTGTCCCCTTCAAAAAGGAGGCAAAACTATGATGAAGGGGGACCCCCCTATTTTCTAGCTGGATGAGGTGGAGGAAACAGAACAGTTCTAAAATGTGTGCTTACCGCTGCCCCTGCTGGCGTATGAATATGAACAATGCATTTAACATCAGGTCGAGCTGCGTAAATTGCAGAGTGCAAAGTAAAACCAGCTTGGTTTACTCCCAAGTTAGTGCTTCCACGATCAACTACATCTCCCTGAATATTGATTTTAACCTGGGAATGAAAAGAATTAGTTTCATAAATCAATCAAGACTGCCAAAAATCTGACTTAATTCAGCATCTACCACTGAAGCTGTAAAACCGTATTTCTTTCAGTATTTTAACAAGTGTCAAAATGTGCACAATAAGGCTGTAGGTAGGTGATCAGGGCCCCAGCTTGAGATTAAGCTAACTGAAGAGAATATGCGGAACTACTGGATACAAGACGAGAAATCGCTGCATGTAACAGGTAATAGTGCGAGAAGCTGACAAAAGTTACAGACAGCGCTGTGACAAATGGCTGCATTTCACAGAGATTTATGGTGGAGTTATATAAGAAACTTGCAAACTTTACAGATACCTGAAGAGGAGTACTGGGATGTTTTGGGGAGTAGATTCTTGAAAGGCCAGGACTTAGGTAATCATACCACTGATACCATGTAAGGCTGAGATTGCCCAGGTAATAATATTATAAATACCAAATTTGGATATGGATGTAGAAAGACTGGAATAAAAGGGAAAAAGTAATTATGCATGGGTTGTTTATTTGGGAGAGAACAAGACCAGAGAAAATGGAGTTTCAGAGTGGCGAAGGGAAGAACAAGCATGGGAGAAATGGAGAGAAAGGGGCAATAAACAGTCAGTTGTGTACGCAGGCTGATGGTCAGCGTGCTCATCTGGCTAAGCTATGTGCCTTATCACTGTAGTCTATCTTATTAAATCTTGCTGCTAGCTATTTTCTGCATGAACATGCTCTCTACTCTGTGTGCGTGCATTTCACTACCTTCACGCAACCTTCATTCTCAAGGTATTTACGTTCCTGATATAGAGATAAAAGCAGGATGCCTTAAAAAGAAAAAAAAAACCAACCCAAAACACACGGAATACCCCCACAGTGTGGCCCTCAACCTCTTCTAAAAAACTTGTAGTAACAAGAAAGGGCAGGTCTCAGTTTTCTCCATTCCTTTTCCTATAGCTTTTTCAATTAAAATTCTACAGGTGGTTAAGGTGGAGTTATATAAGAGCCAACTTCACAGATAGCCGAGGGGGAGTATTGGGACCTTAAGGTGTCAAGAACAACACGAGTTTGAAATGTTGCTACTCTGCACGTAGTTACCTCATGTCTCTGCTAGAGGTTACTTACCTTACAGTAGCCAGGTGGAAAGAATAGTGTGAAAATTTCTATTTTGTTTCAACACAAGACAGTCAACCACATTAACTCAAGTTGTTTTCAGCAGCAGTATAGACTAGACTGAAGACAAATGTTTACAAAATGCTTCCCACTAGCTAACAGTTAAGGAAATTGTGTCTTCAGCTGCAACCATTAGATCTCAAAAATATAGTTTATCTATACCCTCAGCTACTTACATCATTAAACGATGGCAACTAAATCAGGCATCTGACATAAGGTCTTGAAATTGTAATTGGTTTGAATCATCTTTGACTGAAACACATACTGTTGCCGTTGACAAGCCTGATTCAACAGGCAGCAGCTTTCAAGAGCACAATGTGATCAGCTTATCCAAATGACCTGGCTTTTCTTTACAGCTAGATCAACTGGAGGACACCTGGTGGTGAACATGTGCAAAGAAATATCTCCCAGAGATACCTCAGCTGTAGCAAAAGCAGTCATGTTCAATAAAATTATTCTAAAGATGTAACACAGAGTAAAATATTCTCTAGGACAGAAGTTAAATGGTGACAGATATACAGACAGAGCAGATTCAGCTATTCATATTTTACAGCTGTGAAAAACAGTAATTGCTTACCAGACTAGATGCAGTAACTTCACTATAGAGCAGCCCAAAAGGTACAATGAGGAAGTGCTCCTGCTCAGAATTTACTCTGGCCTAAGGATAAAACAAGAGTAAAAGTTATTAAGAATGTTTTATTAAAGCACACAAGAAGACCCAAAACTGTGAAAGTTACTTTCACTTCCTGAGTATGGAACGGGCAAGTATGCCTGTAACATATGCAATATGACTGTCATGTATGCTACAACAGATTATCAACTCAGCGCACAGTTAATTAACTCATGTTGAACAAAACCAGATGGTAGATACATGCCAGAGTCCTTCAAGATTGGTGGAAGGTAGTAAATCCTTAGATCCTGTGGTAATGACAACTAGACTACTGTGGATAAAAGCAATGATACCAAAAGAAGTGGGGGGAAAAAAGTTACTGTGTGGTTTGGGGGTTTTTTTTGCTTGTTTTGGTTTTGTTGGGTTTTTTGGTGGTTGGTTTTTGGTTGTTTGGTTTGTGGGTTTTTTTTGAAGAATGAGTTTATACTCCAACTGTATCTCTACCCTAGTAAAACAGAAGGTAGAAAAAAGTGTGTGAGAAAATGCAAGAGTTTGGCCCACAGATCTGAAACATCTTGATGCTGAGAAGGGTTTCATCAAGGATGCTGGTGCCATGTGAGACATCCGTGAGCAGTACAGCACACTTGCAGGTTTTCTGCCAAGTATCCTGACCCCCACTTATGTTTTTGCTCTTTTGTCTAATTCACACAATCAGGAGTTTATAACACAAAAATAATTCTGACTTCAAACCATTCGTATCTTGGCATGAGTCTGTTCGAACTCTGTACAATGAAAAGCACGGGACAGCTAGGTAGTTTAGGTGTCTCTCAATGGAGAATTAAAAGGCTTCAAATGTTTTACTAGACACGCGAGACAACTCCCTATTTTGTGGTTTTGTGGGTTTTTTGGGGGGGCGTTGTTTGTTTTATTTTACTATTTTTAAAATGTTATTTATTTATGAGTTTTCCATTTCCCCGAGATGCAGCTACTTTATGGTCCCTCATGTCTTCTACTACTTGCAACACTAAATACATATAAACTTTGATATAGTTCTACTGTAGGGGGAAAGTTTCAAAATAAGTAGTTGATCAGTCATCCAAAAGCTTCTAGTACAAATCTAGCTTCCTTTACAACCAGCTGTTAACATGCTACAGCGTGAACTGCACCAGCCTTAACTGCACCAGTTAGTTCAAGTTAACCCATAATTTTATGAAGCACCAAAATAGTTCTCCATTACAGAAGTGTAAATTATTTAGAAAATCTTTCACATATTTATGCAAGACAAAAACCAGGTTATTATTCAAAATGCTGCAAAAGCTAATAAGAAAGCTCCAACATAAGATAAACAAGCAGCAAGACCCACAAACCACATTACTTTAGGATTAGATCAAATAAACGATGTGTACCTTCTGTAACCCTGTAATCTCAAATTCTGCCTAACCCTGGAGGCACCCAAGTTTACTCTACATTATTGTACTTGACAGGAAAGCTCTTGATGTTCTGTAATTCTGCTTCTGCATCAGGACCACACCAGTCTGAACAACTCCACACACAGCAGGTGTGAGTGATCGGTCAGGATCCAGAAAAGCAAAGATACTCCACCCAGCTCCCTGATATGCCCAGATCAGCATATGCTCTCATATCCTCACAGCTCTTTTCTCCTCTAACACACAGGCTTATGCCCCTCACAGAAGGCTGTTTTATCTTTTCACTTCCTTAAGAAGTGCACTGGCAGCTTTTAACTTTAATGCAATCACCTAGTAATTAGAGCATCCACTCACAGAAAAAAAAAAAAAAAAAGACCACCTGAGATCAACTCTAGCCCTACATGAAGTGGTAGGCATTTACCACATTACAAAGGAGTGCCTTACTACTTACACTACTACTTCAGGTATGGGCATACAGAACAAAGACAATACTATTTTGTAAATATAACAACTTTGTTCTAGATTTGAAGGTTAAATTATATCTGTTAGTCACCTTTCAGAATGCTATTTACTGGAGGAGTTTGTAAAACTACTACTGCTTGTGATTGCCGGTGACAAACCATTAACCAAGAGCTTTCCAGTACCACTGCCCTTCAAAACCACCTAAAATACTTTCAGAATCTCATACTCCAAGTGCTTTGACTGTCTTCTGGTACCTCCATTATCCAATCAACTGGTATCACCATTATCTAATCTTCCTGTGCTGCCCCCACCAAAAGAAAGCAAACTTGAGGCATTCTGCCCCAGTCACACAACCTTGCCTTAACCACTTCCCCAGGCACACTGCTCTTCATTACATTTAACTTTTTATCTAAATGCATAAACATTCCCAGAGCTGAACTTCATGCTAGAAAGCCATCTCCAAATCTACTTGCCTAGTAATCTTTTTACCACATTAATGTCCCTTTTACAAAATCAGTTCTTCTGTCACGTATGAAAAAAATCAGGGGGCAGCACAGAGTTGTTTACAAGAACCATTATGTTGGATACTTTCCCTTACTAAAGGAACCAAACTATCTAACCAGCATTGCCCTGATTCTATGCCTACCCACATGATTTATCATCTTCATCGGTTCACAAATAATATACCCTGAAATCTCAAAAAGGAGTAATAATACAATTACCATATTGCACTCAGACTGCAACTAGAAGAACTGTAAATATATAAAGGACAACCTCTACCATGTAGAAAAAAAAAACAAACAAACAATTCAGCTCTGTTAGGAAAACAATTGACTGGGGTGCACACCACAGCTGTGACTTTACTCATAAGACTCATGTTCATCATTCCTCTGGCATATAAAACCTCCTTGATTTGACCTCCTTGTCATTATTTTTATGGATGCCAGCAATTACTCAGTTGCAAGGAAAATTGCTGGCACCCCGCATTAAGCTAAGTAGTTTGCTCATGTTCAGAAATACTATGGCTTCTTTTCCAGAAGTACCTTGAATTATAAAATTCAACTGAATGACTAATAAAAAGATATTTTAGTACTTAGCAAAAAAATTAAGACATGACCTTGTAGAATAATACATACAGTTATTCAAAGCATTTAAGATACTAAAAGACCGAGTCTTTGAGGAAACTTAATTTCATCATAAGAACTTTCACGTACACTCTCTTAAGACTCTATTCAGTCTATGGTAGCTGACATCCAAGCTGTTCCAGTTCTTATTCTTGAGATGCGATGACAAATCGCTTCACTATTATACTCCTTTCAATACCACTTTGCTCCTCTTCCACACAAAGAAAAAAATGACAGATGGGGGAGGGAGGCAATTCTTTTGTATGTTGAAACAATTGGTTCAGTTATCTGTTGATTCAATACTCACTGTTATATGATTGTAAATAAGCTGAGACCAGCCAAAGAGATCTGCTAATCTGTAGAAAGCTGCCAATTTACACCGTAACAACTTCTCTCCTTTTTCATAAGCAATGGAATCTGATCCTCTCAGATCATTCACTGGTGTCACCATGCCAAGACCTGAAAAGAAGGGGTAAAAAAAAACCCCAAACAAACAACAACAAAAAAAAAAACCACAAGAAGGGTTGCATTCAACATCAGTTAAAACCTAACAACATGCACTGTTATTATAGGGGTTGTTCTTAATAGTTTATATCAACATATTAACCTAAGAAACGGGTAGCAAACTTCCATTACTATGATGTCGTAATTTATATTACATGAACATAATGACAGCCTCAGACAAGGTCATTTATCTTTGGTAACCTCAGCATTCGTTTCCTTCCTCGATATTCATTAGTGCTAAGGTGACAGTGTGTTCCTCAGCAATTCCCCCCCCCCCTAAACTAAGGACAAACTAAGGATTGTCTGCAAAATACAACTTAACTGCTAACAGAAAAATGTAACCCCAAATAGTCCACTTTTTGAGATATATGATTTGGTATTCCTGAAAAGGAGAACTGAACATTTAAAAAGATGCACACAAGTTCATTTAACTGGGAAAACTTAAGTACAAGCTAGAGAGAGGAGGATTACGGTAAATAATTATAAAAACTGTAGTTCTAGTTACAGTGCAATTAAAAATGTGGTTAAAAGTAACTGTGATAAAGCAGAATCAGGCCATGCTACAGGCTAAAAAATAAATTTATTTTGGAGCACAGGCAAGGATTTGTATTATCTTAACACAAAACCTGTGTGTACATGCATTTGCACGTTTTGGTTTTTGTTTTCCTTATTTGTTTTGCTTGCTGATGTTTCTTGTCTATAGCTTCACTTCACAGAAGAAAATGGCAAATAGTATTTCAATGGCAAAAATAATTAGTTTCTAAAGAACTTCACTGTTACTAGACTACTAATGAGCATTTAATTTTCCTGCAGACAATCCAAGTAGTAAACATGAGCAATATTTAAATCTCTAATTTTTTTACTAGCGCTGACTTCTCAGGCCTACTTTTCAATTAAGATACCATACTTGAAATAGCTTTTGATACAAATTATATACATGAATGACATTGCATACCACTGTGGCATTTAGAAACTAATCAATTCACTTTATGTTTGCAATGTTCCTATGAGCAGAACAGGACAGCATTTGAACTTCACAGCACTTTTCACTTCATTCACACTGTCTTTGTTTGTTTTAAGCCTTCAAAAAAAAAAAAAAAAAAAGGAAAAGAATTCAACTATTATAAATTAAGGTGCACTCACTCATGTTTAATGCAGCCATTCCGCCTTGTGGTGCTGCAGGGTAGACATTTGGTACATTTGTTGTCATGAAATCTGCAATCTGCTGTAAAGCCAATAAACCTGTTGGGTTCTTCCCCTTCTTAAATTGCTCCTGGATCATGGATTCCAGTTCTTCACAAAAAGCCTAGCAACAGGACGTTGCACATTTTAAACCATGTTCAAATTAATTTCAACCTTTCATACACAGCTTCTTTTTAGCACTTAGATGGAAACATCCTATATGTATTCTGAAAAACAGATCAGGGCAGCAGTACTGCACACAACGTTACTTGAAAATGTTGCTCTCGGGAGCTCCAATGATATGAGTCACTTATTTTTTTGTGAATGAAAATTCCAGCATTCTCTCTTCACGTAACACCAAAACTCATTGAACCTATTAATATGGGTTTCTGGAAGAAGCAGCAGAATGTACAATCAACTTTATCACAAAACATGAAAGGAAAACTAGTAGAAACAGCAAAAAGAAGGACAATTACCAGTGTGGCTCACAGGCAACTGAGAGCCAAGAAGACATCCAGGAACACAGGAAGGAATAGCCATTGAATTTTTAAAATATGTTTAAACAAGGGGTTGTTTACTTTTTTGCTGGTTGGTTTGGGTGGAGTTTTTTTTGGTTTTGTTTTGGTTTTAACTTTGAAAGGAAGAAAACAAGACTTTTTTACTATTGCTGGGAGCTGCTGCTTTTGACAAGAACATTGGTATTTGTACTCACAGAAGTATACCAACTGGTAAGTGAATCTAAATAAAATGCATTGATTTCACATGGAAAGACTGGAAATATACCACTATTCTATTCCTATTCTTAATGAAGTCATGTCATGAAATGTTTCATATCTACAGTAACCTGTCAGTTATTACAAAAGGTACAAATGTTATGAGACATTTGGTGTTGTGTACTTTCTCCCCAAGGGAAACATCTTTAATATTACATTTCAAATAATTCATAATGTATTATTGTGCACCTTTTCAGAAAGAGATATATAAAAATATTTCACGTCAGAATCACGCATGAAAACTGAGCACAGGACAGACCTGCCTTGTACAAGCTACTCTCAGCAGAGTTAATTAAATTAAATGTTTAAATGAATTTGAGCCAGCAATGTGCAAACACAGCCTAGAAGGCCAACCGCATCCTGGGCTGCATCAAGAGAAGTGTGGCCAGCAGGTCAAGGGAGGTGATTCTGCCCCTCTACTCCACTCTTGTGAGATCCCACCTGGAGTACTGCATCCAGCTCTGGAGTCCCCAACATAAGAAAGACATGGACCTGCTGGAGTGTGTCCAGAGGAGAGACACGAGGATGATCCAAGGGCTGGAGCACCTCTCCTATGAGGAAAGGCTGAGAGAGCTGGGGCTGTTCAACCTGGAGAAGAGAAGGCTCCGAGGAGATCTTATTGAGGCCTTCCAGTACCTAAAGGGGGCCTACAGGAGAGCTGGGGAAGGACTTTTTACTAGGGCATGTAGTGATAGGATGAGGGGAAATGGCTTCAAAATGGAAGAGGGCAGGTTTAGATTAAACATTAGGAAGAAGTTTTTCACTGTGAGGGTGGTAAGGCACACAGGTTGCCCAGAGAGGTTGTTGAAGCCCCATTGCTGGGGGTGTTCAAGGCCAAGCTGGACGTGGCCTTGGGCAACCCGGTCTAGTGGAAGGTGTCCCTGCCCATGGCAGGGGGGTTGGAACTCGACCTTCAAGGTGCTTTCCAACCTAAACCATTCTATGATTCTAAATATATGAAACAAGCAAAAAAATGTCTGACCAGGACTAGATAGACAAAATGAAAAAAAGTTGACGAATACAGAGAGAATTCTGAAAGCAAGACTGAGGAGCTGCTTCATGAGTTGACAATAAAAATCCAACCAGATAATGTGAGGAAAAATTATGCTAAAATTAGGATACTTTAGAAGAAAGGCCAATGAGAAAAAAGATCAACTGGATCTATGATACCACAAATTTCTCCAATTCCATAGCAATATTAGAAATAGAGACATTAAATTTATAACTTCAAAATTGGAGCATTTTCTTTTCTTACTGGGCTTTGAAGAATCATGGAGACTCTCTTCTTCTGTTCCATCATATTAAAATCCTGGCGAAGGTCAGGTGCCATATTCCTCTCTCTCAAATAATCTGGATTATTTTCATCAACTCGATCAAAATACCTCTCTTTATGAGGGGCTGTTGTTGGAGGTGGTGAAGTCACCACCCCCACACCAGAATTACCATTCATAGCACAGTTTTAAGGAACCTATGGAGAGGGGGCAGAGAAGAGAAATAAATAAATCAAGCAAGGAAATATTTAAGAACTTCAAACATATTTCTTGTTTCAGAGTGACAGTTCAAATCCATCTAAAATTAGCATGGCTTCCCAAACACAGAAACCATATTACGCAAATGGACAGCAATATTTTAGAGGAGAAAAAAAGATTTTAAAATACAAGGCTAACATATACGCAAATTCAAATGTGCTACATACGTACATGCTACGCAAGATTTCCCATTCAAACTATCTCCAGTTCTTTAAGCTGTCTACACAGCTTGATTTTCACAAGCATGGAAGTCCTTCAAACTTTCTCACAGACAACGACAGAAGTTCAAAATACGTGAGGTCTAAAATCATTGGAGTTTTGTTTGGTCTTGTTTGTGTTTTCTTTTAAATATATATTTAAAAAGTCAAAGCAGATGTAGTGAGAAGAATATTACAGAAAATAGGACATTACACATGTTCATTAATATGAAGAATCAACCCCACCAAAATATGTTCAGATTTTAAACGCATTTCTGGAGACAAACTCAGAAATACTGACTCTACATCCTGAGGCATGCTTTTCACAAATATATTTATTTTAGGTTTATTCATCAACATGCACATCACTACATCAGCATATGGGTTTTAGAATCTGGAAAGCACACACACACAAACAGAACCCCACCCACTAGCCAGGGTTCATTTCAGTTTTGTATGTTGTAATCGTCAACTGAATGTATCTACTAGAAATGCTGAAAACTCAGCTGGTATTCTCATACTCACACATCCTTCTTTCACTCATAAGAATCCCTTTCAGTAACACTATCACAGTTTTCTGGGCACAAAATTATAACCTGCATTCCAAAATCCTTTTTCAAAAGATTTTTTTGAAGTCTTCCACTGACAAGCAACTAGTTCAATAAAGCCACCCTTGCAACACCTTGAGACTCAAACCTCTGATTCCTGATCATCTGACATACCAAATTAAAATAAAGTTTTTTCAGAAAAGATTTATTTTCTTGGCATATCATACATGATTAAATAAAATGTCACTAACACAAACCGCATGTCACTGAACTGTAGTAAGAATATTCAACTCTGCATGGCTTGCTAGTTCGGCAGACCGCAATTATTTACATTATACACAAAATATGCAAGGTTGAAATCCCCTGCTATCGTGACATTTAGCAACTTTACTGAATGTGCCAAGAAAAGCTAGTAGGTCTTGTCCTGGAGGTGGAAGAATAGATAAAAGGAATAAAGTAGCAGAATCTAGCTTCCTGTCCCAGTAAGGCAAAACTTTCAATAATTACTTTCAATAATACCAATTTAGATTCGGGGTTCACACAGTAAGGAGAACCCCAATTTAAACAGTCAATTTCATTACGCATCTTCAGTTTTGCAAGGATTAGTACCATTAAAATCTGCTGATACTATCAAGTCATTGCAATTCTTTTTTGCTATGTAGTAGGAAAGATTGTATGTATCTTCATTTAAGTAATGATTAATCTTCTACAGGTTATAACTAGTAAATTTTGATATATGTCTATTCTTTAACTATTTTTAGATTTTTCTTAGTGACTCATCTTAAATTGTAGTTCCTTGTGGATTTTAATTTGATTAGGCATTTATTTGCATATTTATTAGCTAAAACCACCTCAGATGTGGATCCACACAGAAAAAGCAAGTTTACATAAATTCTTTTGAAATACAGATTATGTTAAAATCATTGCAGTGAAGAAAAATACCTGCTTCAAGACTTCAGAGCTAGCAGATCTCATCTTCTTTAATTCTTATATTAGAAAACAAGTTTCAAAACTCAATTGTTTTTTATTTCAGAATGAACAAATCACTGAACTGAGACAGTTGAATACAAGGAGCAAAAGAAACGTATTTTCCTTGCCTCTGCAGAAGAGGATACTACTATCACGATCTATGTTAGCACTTAAGACACTCGAGTTTCTGATGCTCAGTGATTTCCACCCACTGAGTTGCTAAATAAACACACACAGATGCCTCTGCATGGTTTAAATTATTTCATTTTAAATCAGTCAGTTTAAGCTTTAAAAGTCATGGTCGGATTAAAATGCTGTTGGGTTTTTTTTTTTTTTTTTTTCCCCCCCCCCCCCCCCCTTTGCTTTGAAGTAAGCACTTATGCACATCTTTATTATTATAACTTCTTTTAATTGCTAGCTTTCCTCCACCCAGGAAGAAATACAGGGTGTAGCAAGAATAAACAATGCTTTTATCCACGTGGAAAATTTTTTAAGGTATTACACTTAGAAAGTTTTAAGCAAGTGATGTTACAGCAAAGAAGTCACCTCTCCTTTGGCAGCTTCAGATCCCTAACACACACCCTCTAATTTCTCTTCTTCATCACAACCTCCAGCTTGCACTAGCTGCCATTTCATACCCCAAAAATGCTTTCGAAGGCCCACCACCACCTTCCACAACCCCTCTTCTGAGCTCTATTAGCTATCCTGATGTCTCTACATCTAGGTTTTGGCTGAAAAATTAGAGTTTGCAGGTCCAAACATATGGCTTACTCTCTTACAATAAGAGCTCACTTGGTTCAATCGAAGTCTGAACTTCACCACCCTCTGCTTATCACAAAGAATCAGAGCTTAGAAACAGCACAATGGCAAGCCCACAAATAAAGACAAACTGAACCG